AATTTTGTTGTAAGGGCAATTCGTCTCCAAAAATTGGGCACCCGTCAACTTGTGTAAGCCACGGCAGATGGTGTCAACGGTTGAAATATGACAAATAGCACCTCATATAGCAATTGAAAAAGTCTCAAAGCTGGGATGGATGAATGGTTTAGGGCTAGCAATAAGACTTAAAAAAAGTAGGGGATGTAAGGGTGACTATAGACCCCTGACCACCCAAGACTAGAACCGACTTCAGGTTCGAGTATGGATCCAAATACTATTTGATTCCGGGTCCAGTTGGACCCGATCCATATTCGTAGTCATAGGATAAGTAATGGTAATCATGTGTTTTTAAGCGTTCGCTAAATGTTCATATTGTCATAATATTAGCAACATTTACAATATTATTGGCAAAAAAAGGGGGGGCGGGGTAGAAGGGGAAAAAAAAAAACTCATAATCATAGGGTGGCAATGGATCCCCCAAACCTGCGACCCGATGGGTCCAAGTATGGATCCAAATTTTGGACTCGACTATTTGGGCCCAAGTCCAGCATGACCCCGACCCGTTGTCACCCCTAAGGGCATGGGTTATAAATTGTGGCCCGGGGGACTGGCTAGGGCCAAGTTCGACCCTCTTTTTCTTTCCCTTTAGTTTTTTCTTTTATTTTTCTTCATTTATTTTTGGCCCTGCCTAATCCTACCGATGGCATAGCTTGCCCAGGCCCAGCCTGATGCCACCATAGAGTGGTTACGGGCTTCTCAATAGTGGGATTTTTATCCTGTCACGGCAAATATAATTGTTTTGTGGGTGCGGTTTGTATAGGGCCTAGGCTCAGCCTACCTTCAAATAGCGCCGAGAAATGTGTTTTCAAAATTGAAAATATTTGTGATTGTCTTAAAATATATTTTCATATTTATTTGTAAAGTTTAAAGTTTAAAAACTAGTGTAGATCGATAGATCTATGAAAATTTGGAAATCTTGAAAATTGATGGTAAAAAAATGCGATATAAAATACACTATTTCCAAAACTTGAAATCCACTTTTTTTCTCATGTCCATGCATCTTGATGTCGAGATGATCAATTTGAGGATAGTTGGGTATCAAAACACCATCTTCTAGTGAAAATTTTGGGGTAAATTCAAATTTGATTGTTTAGAGCCTCTCTATATCAACTTTTCGCATTGTTTAATATAGCATTGTGCCCTCATAAACATGAAGTAATATTTGTTCATGCATATAATATTGACCAAAAGGATCCTATATTATGATATGGATACCATATGCTAAAGTTTGGTGGCTCAAGAAAATGACAAAAGGAATAGAGAGAGAATCGCCAAATCGTAATAAAGTACAATCAATGCAGGCCAATAAATAAGATTCCAATCTAGTCCGTTACATTTGGCCTTGATTTTTGGAGCCCATTTACTAAGTTGCATGGATTTACTTTACTGTATTCCTACCCCAAGTAACATGTCAAAAGGCACAAAGCTATAACCGCCTTTTCCAGTTCAAAGTTAATGTCATGAGAGATTTTCAATATTTTTATTTTCTTAATGAAATTCTCAAGAAAATAATACTATTAGGACTGTTATTGGGCTTTGGGCCAGGTTCAGGCGGGCCGTTGTGGGCCACTCTGCTTTCGGGCAAAATATTTTATGTTATCAAAATATTTTATGTTATTGAAAGTCGATTCTGGACCTCTTCAATATAGTTTTGGAGGCTTTACATTAAAGTGCACCTTAACCACCAAAGTCAAAATGTTGGAACTCAAATAATTCAAAGTGAGACTTTCAAAGTTTACTGTTTTCCTAATGAAATTCTCAAGGGAATATAATTGAGGTAAATATTATGTCATATTGAATGTGAATTTTGTACCTCAGACATTGATTTAAAGGCTTACAGCCTATTGCACCCCCAACCACCAAGCCAATATGTTGAACTCATATTCAATGAGTTTTGGCTCCAAGTGGGGAGCAAAAATATGATGATAAACTTAAGGCAGAGGATGATAAACAATTAAACATTGATTATGATAATAAATAATACTCTTTTAACCATTTTGTGATTTTTTTTTGCAGATTTTTAGAACCTACTTGTCATTTTATGTGGAGTCTGATTAATGTCTCAATTGTATTATAGTATTCTAGCCAATTGTATAGAAAATTTTTATTTTCGATAATTCATTGAAAAAGAAATTTCTTATTGATTTTATAGTACTCTGACTTTCTTAATAAAATCCTTGGGAAGCAAAGATCATATGCTGATAGCGATATCTAACATGTTTTACTAGGTGGATACTTCAGAGCTCGAAAATGAAGAAAGATTTCCAGGTAATGTGGTACATGCACTGTGGTCATGCAAGCTTTCCATGGCAACAAAAAAGTTTAAAGTCATAATATCCTCAGCGAATTTTCCGTTCTCCATTTTTAAAATCAATGTATCAATGCGCATGGATGCCAAAATATCTCGAGCGAATTTCCCTTTCAACATTTTTAAAAGATAGTGATATCTAACATGTTTTACTAGGAGGACACTTCGGGGCTCGAAAATGAAGAAAGATTTCAAGGGAATGTGGTATAGGCAATGTGGTCATGCAGACTTTCCATGCCAACAGGAGATTTTAAAGTCATAAAATCCTCAGCGAATTTCCTGTTCTCCATTTTTAAAACCAATGTATCAATGCCTATGGATGTCAAAATATCTCGAGCGAATTTCCCGTTCATCAGTTTTAAAAGATGGTGATATCTAACATGTTTTACTAGGTGGATGCTTCGGGGCTCGAAAATGAAGAAAGATTCCAAGGTAATGAGGTACATGCAATGTGGTCATGCAAGCTTTTCATGCCAACAGAGGATTTTAAAGTCATAATATCCTCTGCTAATTTCCCGTTCTTCATTTTTTAAACCAATGTATCAATGCGTTTGGATGTCAAAATATCTCAAGCAAATTTCCCTTTCAACATTTTAAAAAGATAGTGATATCTAACATGTTTTACTAGGTGGATACTTCGGGGCCTGAAAATGAAAAAAGATTTCAAGGTAATGTGGTACAGGCAATGTGGTCATGCAAGTATTCCATGCCAACATAAGATTTTAAAGTCATAATTTCCTCAGCGAATTTCCTGTTCTCCATTTTTAAATCCCATGTATCATTGCGCGTGTATGTCAAAATATCTCGAGCGAATTTCCCGATCACCATTTTTAAAATCGCTTTATTGGTGCGCATGGAAAACATTTACTACATCGAGATTCGAAATCTTGGTTCGTTGTCAAGGCTGTTACCATTTTGGGACGGAGGCACTTGGTTCATTGTCCGGGCCATTACTAAGTTGGCACTCAGGCTTGGCTCAGAGGTGGCATTACTATATTGAGATTTCGGGGCCTTATCTCCACCAGTCAGATTGTTACCATGTTCGGAGCTCTTGGCTCCGTTATTGCCTCTTGTTTATGTGATAAGTTTAGTACTATGCTAGGATTTGGTCACTTGATTCAGTGGTAGACCCTCTTGGTTTGGAGTCGAACCCTTACTATGCTGCGATTTGGGGTTCTTGACTCGGGTGTTTGGGCTCTTTGACTTCCCAAACCAAAGAGGTCACTGTTATCCTACTAGTTTCCTAGATGCCAAGTGACTCTTAATGGCCTTCAATAACTTCATTATTTTGGGCTTAATCTCAAGGAAAATAAGAAAAAAATCGTGGGTGAAATTTCATGGAAAATTTCTAATTGGAAATATTTCATTTTTTTGACAAGTGATTGGAAATACTGTAATGATTTGGCTAGGTTTTTATTTATTTATTTTAAAGAATATCTTATGGCACACCAACCAGTAGAACTAGATAAGACTGATTTAAGTATTTCGAGTAGGTGAGGTGAATTGCTCAACCGTACATTAATTCCATTTATTGAGTTGCTTTAGGAAGTAAGGAGATGGACCAAACATCATATTTCTAGAAAGGCAAACAGTCTGGTGCCACCCTTTTTTATTTTTATTTTTTGGAACTTTAACCATGAGATTTCATTCAAGAATAAAAAAAATACACAAAGGTGAAACCAAAGAAGAGGTTAATGGGCACCCTCTTTGACAAATGAATCTGCCTCCATATTAGCATTACCATAACAATAAGAAATTTCAACCCACAAGGAAAACAGGAATGCGCTTTGATATATATTTAGACAAAAAATCAGCAAGACCGCACAAAATCTTCAATTAAAAAAAAAAAACAAAAAACAAGAGAGGAATGGTAATGGGGATAAACACTATTGTGTGTAGATTTACTTAGTCGTTGAAAATTTGCAAGTGGAAGTTAATTAGTCAAAAACAAATCCTAATTATTATCGGGTCGTTGATAAGACTTTATTAATATCTAAATTTGCATCATGGAATAAAAAAAGGAAAAAGAAGGTGCGGTTTTTATAGAGCTGAGGCTCTAAATAATCAAAGCAAAACGCACTTTTAAATAGCGTCTAAAAATATGGTTTCAATACTAGAAATCTTTGTGATAGTCTTAAAATATATTTTTACTTTTAATTACAAAATTTCAAGTTTAAAAAATGGTGTATATCCATAAAAAATTAAAAATCTTGAAAATTGACGGTCTAAAAATACATTATAAGATACACTTATTTTTAAAACTTAAAACCTATTTTTTTTCTTATATCTATAAATCTTAAAGTCGAGATAATCAATTTGAGGATATTTAGACATAAAAAAAGAACCTCTCGGAGTGGAGTGAGATTGTTGAGGTCCGGTCTAATTTGATTATTTAGAGCTTCGGCGCTATGTAGTTTTGTTCCTTATAAAAATAGCGATCGTGTTCACCACCACTGGGGGGCCATTGAGTTAATCGGAAAAAGTAGGGAGAGAGAGAGAAGGTGAAAGAGCAAGACACCTGTCACGAATGGACTGAATACTCTCTCTTTCTCTCACCTACTCTACGCCGAACCCCTATGTTTCTCTCTCTTAAAACCACAAAATTTCATTGATATTTTTTGTTTTTAGTAGGAAAAAGCTGACGCCTTGTTTTAAATGTACTGAAAAGGATTGGGTAGCCTTTTACATTACCCCGGCATATATATTGGTCTAAAACTCCAGCGCGGTTTTGCGGTGCCCAGAAAAACCATGAAAGAAATCCATGTACAAAGGAGGTCATGCAATAGGCCTTCAAAGGCCAAATGGTTCATCCAGTTTGGCCACCCTCCTTATTACCCCCAAAAAAACCCACTTTCTCTCTCTTCATCTCTCTCACGTTTCTCCACCAATATTCCCGGAGGTGGACTCGGAGCCTCTCTCTAAAAACCCCTTCGCCTCCCCCTCTCTCTCTCTATATAACCTCCCCTGGTTTTGAAGGAGGAGAGAGAGGAAGCATGGAGGGGAAGAGGAAGGCGGTGGTGTTCGTGGAGGAGGCGGAGGAGGAGGATGGAGGTGTTATTTTTGGAGATGAAGACTTGAGTGAGATTAGTGGGTTGAGGAGAGAGAGAGAGTACATCGAGGTCACATGCGGGTGTACGAGCTTTCGATATGGAGACGCTGCTGGCAAGCTCAGGGTCTTCGTACGTGGGGACCTTGAGATCAGCTGTGAATGTACGCCTGGTTGTGAAGAAGGTAAAGCTGATCTGCTTTTTCACTTCTTCATGCCCAGGAAAGGGACCTCCCCCCTCTCTCTCTCTCTCTCTCTAACTCATCCCCTCTCTCCCTCGTCTTATTTTATGGGATGAAGGCTCTTTCTCTCTCCTATGTCTTTTTCTCTCTCTTGTTTGGTTTTTGTCTCTTGAGTTTTTTATTCATTGATGGGAAACGAATGTTTGGTTCAGTGTGAAAGTATTTTCGGGTTCTGCTTATTTTATTGTTTTTATAATGAAATAAGATTTTCATATGCGGTTGATCCTGTTTTTGTGATGAGGATTCGGATTTCGTTTAAGGATCAGTGAACTGTTTGGGAATATGGTTCTTTGAATCAAAGCTTGTTTTCATATCTGGTTCTTTGTACTTCTCTGTGCACTGTGCATGTTGAAGAAGTCGATCTTCAAGCTTATGGTACAGATGCCATTCGTTTCACAAATGGCTAAGGCACACTGAGCTGTAGCTCCCATGTAGATACGAGCTTGCTTATATATATAATGAGAGAGAGAGAGAGAGCAGCATAAGCATGCATGTGCACACACACATGCAAGCATTCACACACATGCTAATGTACGCATGTATGTGTGGCATGCAGGCTCTTGCATAAACACCTCTCTCTCTGTACATCTCAACCTCATCTCTGTATGTGTGGCATGCGTATGTTTGTGTCTGGACGCTTCTATGTTTAGAAAATAATTGAACAAATAAATATATGTTTTTTTGTGTTGTATGCTTATATATTTATTTAGTTATGAACATGATGGCTTGAGTCGTTTGTATGTCTGTATGTATGCATGTGTATGTATGTATGTATGCATGTGTATGTATATATGTATGTATGTTTAAATGTATGTGTATATATGGGTTAAGATGGGTACTGTAGATGAATAATGCGAATTGTAACAATGTAAGTTATAGCATGGTGAACTTGCCTATCTTGCAATCATGTCCTTCATCACCGAGATTCTAAAAAATTTAGTTAATTGTAAAAGATAATGGCTTTTGTTGGTTGTTGAGGCATCACATGACTTCTGTCTTTGACCATTAATTTCTGTTTTATCACTGATGAATATCATAAAAAAGGTTATTAAAAATGAAAATAGTCTGCTTTAATGGTGTAGAGTCACCTTAATGACAGTTCTGAAAGAAGAGATGGGACAGATAGAGCATTTTAGAATTGTGAAAAAAATGTCTTGCATCTCTTTTTTATTAAATATACAATTACTAATTTGCTATTAGGAAATCAGAAAATGCAATAAATAATCAATAAAGTTCTAATCAGGATATAGCAACAATATGGGATCATAGTTCACCACCCATTGTCTGGGTCATAATTCACCACTCAGTAATCTCCTAGGACAATGAAACCATGCTGACACTCTCTTCAAACTGATGCATTCCAAGATCGTTAGTAGTTTGAGTAGGAACTGATTATTCAAGTGAGGCATGGCCTCCCTAAAAATGTCTGGCAACTGTTATAATATGTCATGTATGAGTGAGATGTTCAAGTTCATAATGCCCCAGATTGTGCAACACTTTGCGGTTTGTTCATGGATACATGCTATTTGGAGTGCATTAGTCATCAGCATAAGATGGGGCTTGGGTAGGGCTAGAGTCTGTGCAAGACCATACTATCTCATTAGAAGTTGAAGACATAATACAATATTTGGCTTGGATGCTGGCTTACCGACAGTGTATTGCTTCTTGTACATCTCAAAAGTTCAGGACCTCCCAAAAAACAAAGTTGCTTTTGGTTGAACACAACACTCACATACGCCCAAAACTCAAAATGGGAATCGGTTGAAGTCCTCGAGCTATTGTGCATTACGGATATATGGTATGTGATGGTTGGATAGACTAAGCTTGTGAGTTGTAAGCAGCCATCATTCAGACAAGCTCATCATCCTTGCAGCACTTTACATTGACCTAAGTATCAAGAACCTTTTTGGTTGTGAAATGGGAAAAGGTTGCTGATGTCATGGGAGTACTTTTGAGCAAATAGCTCTGGGGAGGCTTACATAACCCGAATTCAAAGTAGTAGCCTTTGGCCCTTTGCTGATATCTTACCTCCAAGATAACATGCTTGACTTCTCAAATCAAGTTCATGGGGTACCTTTGAATTTATAATTGCATAGTTGGCTTTTTTGATGCAGCACACCAGATGCACTATGTACATAATCAAACATAGGAGGTATTACGTAGGCTTTGGTGCTAATAAGCTTACACTCTGAGAAAAGTGCATGATGGAATACATTGTTAAATTTTTTCCAAAGGTGTCAAATGGTGGATGGACGCAACAAAATTTTATGGCATATAAGATGGTCATGTTGGCTATAGGGAGGATGGTTTCCTCCATAGCTACTGGGATCGGGATTGAATTCGATCCACGTAGGGATTGGGTCTAGATGATCATGACAAGCAGAAAGCTCCCTATATTGGGTCTGGTATGGGGCTACCAAATACTGGGAAGAGAGCACCCTAAAGAAATTGCAAGTTTTAGAAGCCTATGACTTACCAAATATGGGTTAGAGTTACTTAAAAAAAAAGGTGTTAGAGAATGTAAATCTTTTCGATTGTTAGGGGTCTTAAAGATTGAATAAGAGATACTTATGGGTTAGAGTTTCTTGGAAAAAAGGTTCTTTGGGTGGATGGTGCAGACTGGGCTGAGTCTACTTGGACTTGCTGGAGTCATTCAGACTGCCACAGTTCTGCACCCGAGCCTCTTTTTCTTTCATTGCTACCATCTACAAAATGCATACGTAAGCATGCATAGACAGAATTAGACATCTACATTAGTAAGCATGCATAGACAGAATCGGATAGCTTTATACCAATATATTGAGATATATGTATTTACATATGTGTAAACCACTTAACTCTTTATATTTAATCTTGAGCCTTTGCTGCTGATTGTCACCTGCTTCTAAATTGTAGTTGTAAATCACTCTATGGAAAGATGTGATATGACTTGAGAGTTGGAATGGACTCTTTAAAGTGAGTCATATTTTTAATGTAGAATTGTAGATGATGAACAAGAGCAGATAATCCTTGGTTTGAAAAAGTATTGCATGATTTTGGATTGTTACAGTAAACTTATTGTTTCTTACAACTATTTAATTTTTGTAAAATCATTCTTTTGCGTTAAACCTAGCTTTTGTACTATGTATGCTATTTCTCTCTATTCAAATGTTAACAGTTCAAAAAAAGAAGAAACAAAGAACCTTATATGCATTCAATTTGAACCTCGATGTATCTTCTAATGTTTGCCAATGCACTACCATTGATTTATGGCTCAACAGATTTGCCTATCCATATCCGGAACTGTGTTAGTTGAAGCCGACCAAAACTAGGCATTTCTATAAGGGTGTGGCTTGTATAAGGTTACGACCTTAAACAATCCAAAGAAGGTGCACCTCCATATTTTATCATAAGATGTAATTTTGGTGTTAAAAATTCATAGGATGGCCTTATAATCCGTTTTCATCTCTAATTATCAATTTTTAAACTCCAAAAATAGTTCAAATCAAGTAGATCTATAAACACATGAAAATCTTGTAAATGGACGGTCTAGATAATATGTTGCAAGATGCACTATTTTTTGGACTCGAAATATTTATTTTTTCACATAGTCATACATTTCGATGTCGAGATGATCAATTAGAGGGTTTTCCAACGTCAAAACAACCTTTTTCAATGGATTTTTGAGGTGCACTTTAATTCTACATTTAAGATTGCAACTTTATATAAACTTTTTCCTTTCTATAAATATATTTATGTAGCTAATTGTTAAATATCTATTTCTTAATATTTAATCATCTAATTAGATAACTACAGTTGTCATCTTTCAGCATTTTCTTTCTTGTCCATCAATTATGTTCACATGGTCTCTGATTTCTGGGACTAATTTCCAGTCATTTGTATTTGACAGATAAGCTCACACCTTCTGCTTTTGAGAAACATGCGGGGCGAGAGACGAGAAAGTGGAAGAACAATATATGGGTGATAATGAGTGGAGAGAAGGTTCCTCTAGCAAAAACTGTGCTGCTTAAATACTACAATGAGGCTTCTAGAAATGGTAATGGGGGTCATAAAACCCAGAATGGAAAACCCTGCCATCGAGATGAATTTGTTCGCTGCACACAATGCAACAAGGAGCGCAGGTTTCGGCTCAGAACCAAAGAGGAGTGCCGTATTTACCATGATGTTATAGCAGATACCCATTGGAAATGTGCTGATATGAAGTTCTCCAAGTAAATCTTTCCCCTTGCAATGGTATATGTATCTCATGTACATTTAGTTAAATCAGTGTGCATACACGTAAATATCCATGCACTCGTTCCCCCATTACAGAAGGTCATGAACCAACTTCACATGTATATACTCACACTTGTATATGCATCCTACGACAATGTGAAATCTGTTGAAAACGAAGCTCATTGAAATATGATGTTTATGTTTCTGCAGTTGTTTCGATTGGTTGATTCCTTTTCTCATTGAGTTTTCATGGTCCCTAGTATCTTAAAACTCTTGATATACTAATATGCCAGTGCAGTCATTTCGCACAATCACGAACTCACACCATGTATGTCTCTCATTCATCTATGTGATGTTTGTACGTGTGTTCACCCACGTATGCAGGCTTTCACATAGACTCTTAAAAGACTTAAAATGATGCCACAAAATAGAGGTAATTAATGGCAAGATTCGTGTATGCTGCGAGATGAACAAGACTCAAGCGAGCATGGTCAGATGAAACAACATTTAGAAGCAAACTAGTCGTGGCTGGTGCGAAGCAAGCCTCCACTAGCTTGCACAGGCCAAAGTCTTTAGAAGCTATGGCTTTCTTTGCATTATGCAGCCGTATGAAGCATGCTCAGGGTTTGTACCCTGAAAATTAGAAGATAAATGGCTCCTAGAATCGAACCTCTATAGAAAATTGGGACACTTTTACAATTTCATTATGTTTTGTAGGACTTCAATTTCAAAAACCAAGTAGATACCTATTTATTCCAATTCCTCCTCACTCTGAATCTAGCAGCCAGTTTTCATTCTTTCTACAATGGTCATAATGCCTCATCACAACTGATTCTTCTGCTTCTTACTTAATTATCTTCTCACATCAAAATCTAGGGATGGTTGAGGAAGAACCATGTTCCAGGGTTTCATGGGTAGAAAATGAACAGATTTTACTTGGATTGACCTTTTTCTTTTCTGTTATTTGTTACCTTTTACTTTCGATTAATTAACAGATTTGTTGTGTAATGTATAGATGTTTAGGTTTGGTAAATGCATAGTGGAGCTCGGTTCTTTGTCTCAATTCCTTGGTGGTGGATTCAATTCTCAATTCCTTAGTCTTTCATATTATATATATTGTACATATCCAAGGACTATTGGTATCTTCTGTTAGCAACTTAGCATTGGCATTGTTTGGCATAAGAACTTGTATATCTTAGTTTGGATCCCTTGGTTGCCATGTAGGTGTCACAGTATGTTCCCTAACATCATACATACATGAGCCGTTAATATAAGTTGTTTTATTGGGCAGCTTATTTTTCTATTGGATATTCCGATAGATTTTTAGTTTTTCTTGAGAGGTTACTAAAGGTTTGGATCCTTAAATGAAATTCTTTTACAATGACCAATAATATTTTTCTAGAATTATAGTTTTTCTTCCATAGCTGCACCTCTGTCCCGTGACTAAGGAAAGTTTTTATGTCACTTGAACTTATGTTTTCCTTCCCCTTTTTCTTTTGATGGGTATGTTGGGCATCACTTTTGCTACTTCATTGTATCTCTATGTGCATTGACGATGATTCCATCTAGTTTTACCTCCGTAACCGCACCTTTGTCCATGGATTATTGAAAGCATTTATGTTATAGAAGTACATTATAGTTCTACTTATGCTTCTCATTCCTGTTTTTCTTTTGATGTGTATATTGGGCGCTTCTTTTGCTACTCCATCATGTCTCTAGGTCCACGACAATGTTGACATCTAGCATAATGATAAGCTTCTTTAATTCACTGAGGACAGCTGCTTATGTTTCATAGGAATTTGTTAGCAGGGTGAGATGATATACTTCCCACAAAACCTACCTTAGAGATTTGATGAAGGAAACTAGAAAGTAGGAATAGATTCTTGGTTGAATCTTATGCTCTTCCTGTTTGGGGTGGCCGGAGATTCTGAAACTGTGACAAGAACCCTGCGGGCCAGAATATATGGAATGATTAATAGTAAGTAAAGGGGTTGTATTGAATGTGGTAAGAGTACCAGAATAGGATAAATTTTCTCTTTGTCAGTGGCCTAGATAGGAAATTCATTGGAGCGTGTGGTTTTGCCTCTTTTGGTGCGTGCTGGGATTTGTTAGGTTCTTGTTGAGATGGAAAATGATATCAAATTTTCAGAGTTTATGGTTGTCACCATCGAAGTCAATAGGCATAAGTTAAGGAACCAAAGTCAAGATATTTCTACAAAAAGATCTTAGCTGGTCTGGAAAGGATGGAAAGTACAATGAATCTGAAGGAGATGTTGATTACCTCTTTTTCCAATGCTCCATACCCTGACCAGCCTTGAAAAGAATCTCAACTAGACTGATAGTAGAGCACCCAACCCTATTAAAAGATTAAAACAAATGATGAAGGTCCACGGTAATTAGGAGTTTGGAGCGGCTCCAAAAACTTTGTGTATCATTGCAAAGAAAGAAATTGGCATAGCTGACCTCCAATTATGGAGCCCTATAATAAGAGGAGGGTAGGAGTTTGGTGGGGGCTGGTTGTACCGAGCAGCTGAGGTCATATTTGTAATGGGATGATTCTAATATTTTGCAATCCATTTAGTCCAGGGTATCTGAAATGTCCATTGATAAATATCATCTTTATCATTCAATAAGTTTGAAATGGTATTTATTGGGGTTTTGTGGCCATTTAAAGCCCTTATGAGAGCATGTAAAACTATGACTATAGAGATATGATGACTCTTGTGGGAGTAGGGTCCGATGGGGGCATGTTTTGTCATGCGATGACTCACCCATTTTTGACGAGCTAAGCTTGGCATGGAGTCTGAAACCTTGTCACCCTGGGCATAGGGCACAACTATGGAGGGTTTGTAGGGGTAGCTCTTGATAAGGTCAGAGAAGGTGGTTTTTGGCCAAGAGACTTTGTGAACCCTGTGTGCGGTTGGCAGGCCCGATAGGACAAGGGCCAAATCCTCATCATTGCCATCGCATGATATGTTCACATGATAGCCATCTAGAGATGTGTGTAGAGGCCTACCCCCAAGGGGGTATTTATAGATGCAAATTAGGGTTTATGGGGTCCAGGGTCTGCCATCATAATGAGACTTAATCTTGACCAGCTGATCTAAGGAGATCTATGGGGTGATGAGATTCCTTCAATCGCAGCCATCCATTCCCTAAATCAACCATCATGATTATAGGGAAGGTCGTAGAACACTAGAATTATTATCCTACAGTTTACTTGAGAGAAGTATTCATGAGATCTTTTTTCTTTCCTACCTGAAAAATTCATTGGATATATAGACAGTCTTGTATACAGATTTTAAAATTGGATGGTAAATGGGTTATCTGACGGAACCTAGGGGTGACTCCAATAGAAGATAAGATGAGGGAAAGTAAACTTTGGTGGGCTGGCCATATGTAGTGTTGGCCTAGAAAAACACCGGTTAAAGGGGCGTTTTGGTTCAAGCGGAAGGCTCTAAAAGGTTAATGGGAAGGCCCAAAAGGACATTGATGGAAATATTGAGAAGCGATATGTTGACTTATGGTCTGATTGGGGTTATGGCCCTTGGTAGAGCGGAATGGAGGAACAAGATTTGTGTAGCTAACCCCAAATAGTTAGAATAAGGCTCGAATGATGATAAAGATAGTGATGATGGTAGATGGGATAGATACAAGGCCTTATTACTTGCTTGAGTGTTAAGAACTTGATTCTTTTGTAAGGGACTTTAGTGGTATATGCACATTACATGCACCATCCACCATTGCCCTGATATCCTACTCACCATTGAGATATCTCCTATATGGATATCAAACACAAATTGTCCTATGGTGATTCGATGCAGTAAGAATCAGGTAGAGTGAAATTCTCAGAAGAGGGAGAGCACAAAAGCCATAAGGGTAGACCAAAAGCGCAAGAACTCAAAAGTTCTTACACAAATGTAATTCAAACTATCTACAAGGGACCATAACAACCTTTTAATAGGCAAATAAAATTTTATACCAAAAAGCACCTAACGGCTAAACACATTCAACCAAGTCCCCATACATTTGAAATCCAAACTTCATTTAAAAATGCCTCAATGCATCTACTAGATATGGAAAATAAATCTTTAGAATATAATACTTAAATAAGTAATGAATATTGTATATAACACTAAGTCAATTTAGTAGTCAACCAGTAAGTATCAATTCACCACTTTGCCCTTAATTTTTACTACAAATAACTAAAGACTCCAACTCGTTTATGAATCACCTATTAGAACTGGATCGATGGATTGGACAAATCCTTCACTGACAAAAAAGAAGAAGAAAGGATATGTTTGATAAGACAACCACAATCAGAGATCAAATAAAAAGGATCAGGATCACAAGAGATTTAAAAACCCTAATTACTCCTAGAATTCTTAATACCATACTTTAGACCAAGATTTGGATACTTAAAATGTCAAAATTATGAAAAACGCCAAAAGATTGCCTTCATAGATAATTGAAGGATCTCCAACATGCAAATGGAATCACCAAGGTCGGACAAAGGAGAGAAACTTATGCTCCTTGGAGGATGTTGCCCTGGCTTAGAGAAAACTCATCCTCGAGTTTGATTCCCTCGGCCTTTAAGGAGCTTTTTTGGTAATTGGTGGGGTATTCGACCATTGATTCTTTATTTGCTGTTCTAGATCCTTGTTCCGCCATAACCCACTATTAAATGGAATCCTTCATGTCCATATGTTGGGAACCTAAGTCCTCAAAACTCTTGTTCTTGATTTAGTCATTGTCCATCTCTGCTTTAATATTTTTGTTTTTTTTTTATTTCGATTCCTTGAAGATTCTTCAACAAATTCTCCACGTACAATTTATGTTCTGTTTGTAACCAACTTCCTTCTAATGGGGCTTTAAGCATTGGTGGTATTGTATTAGAACTATAGTTCTTGGAAACGCCTGTGATTCCAAATCTTCAAGGAATCTGAATCGTGTGTATCAAATGTTTCCTAAACTTGAGACCATTGTCCGTACGATT